ATTTCATGTTATATTCGATAAATTCCCCAAAGTAACGAAACCGAGGAGATTCAACTGGTGATTAATTATGTGGTAAGCCACATCGTCACCTGCAGACCCCCAGTCACGGCAAAACTTCGCCGACTGGCACTGGACAACTTAGTTTTCGCTAAGCGTGAGTTGGACAGTTTACTTGCTATATGTATTACTTCGTCTTTCTCACAGTCCCTATGACTCCTCTCCACTCGGTTCGCAGAAAGATGGCATTTGTTGGAGACGACATGGCGATTACGGAGCAGCAACGGCAGATATCCAATGTTCCGCCTTCGAACTCATATACGGCACGACATTGCATCTGCCTGGAGAATTTCTTCACACCACGGAGCAGCGATTTTATGTATATCAGATTACGTCCAACGACTATCTGAGTAGATGCGAATACTGCCTCAGGTGTGAACTCGAATATAACACCGACAGGTCGCTCTCCCTTGAGATTTATTCACCTGTCCGCAAGTTTTCTTACTAGTAGATTCGGTACTCAACAACCTTACGAAGGATCTTTTCACGTGATCTCCCGTCACGAAAAGACCTTCAAGGTTGATGGACACAGTCAGCATTGATCGTCTCATACCAGCGCACGTCAATGACAGTGCCCTACCTGGTAAATCGAGATTTAATGCTGGACTCGTCCAACTGACTAGCGGGATCCTTATTTTTCCTTCTGATCCCACTCTAGATAAACCAAAGACCTCATTCTCAGGTCCCAGTCAGCAGCACGCGCCATCTGCACTATCTACGGATGAGACCCCGTTCTCACGTCCAGATCAGCAGACCACGCCGCACTTGACTGCGGATGAGAATGCAGGATCACGAGGTACGCACGAGGCTACTGTCTTGCGTGCCGGTCGCCGCGCACGCCTACTTGTACGCTTTCTCGACTAAATACCAATCAACCACGGGTTCGTTATAGGATTTTACACTCGTACTACATGCATGCTACACTTTTCTTCTTTTTTTTATCCCGAGCCTATACCTTCGACCATTGCCCTGTTGGCACCGTCGACTTCAGTCAACCTTGACGAAAGCTGGCCTGATCACCCACGCTCTTGTCAATGCACTCAGTCGATTTTCTGGTGACGAATATATCTGGTATACGAATGGTTTCGAAATGGTCGTTTCTGGCTCCGCTCAATCTGGTTCCGTCCTACGTCTGCAGATTTATCTGGTCCGAACGCCTACGAAAGCAATCTTCAGACTCTGGATACGAGCCACGCTGGTGTGGCATGCCAATCCGATAGACAAACTTGGCACGTCAACTCGAGCAGCATACCTGGCACGTTACTACTGGTACAGTTCAACGTAGAAGACTATCGGTGACAACTCGAGCTTCATTGGTCGCTTCCTGTTCGTCAACCCTTCCGCGCTACAACCAAATGTTGGCCGACCAGCCCTCCCCGTCAAACGCAGCCGCTATGTATCGAAAGTGTAAACCCTTTCTAGGCGGGGGCTGCTGTAGTGGAACGCTTCTACGAAGAAAATGCGATTTTTGAAATGTAAACATTATTGTACTCGCTGCGTTTAACTGTACCAAAAACAGTTCTACAGTTCTTGCGCGCAACGTTCTCTTCGCGTTGCCGTCATATTTCTTTATTTGCTGCTCCCTATGTAATGCCAACGTTCTCCTTTAATAAAACCATGGAGTTTTGATTTATTTTGTTCTGCTTTTCGTCACGCGACCGCATGGAACATTTAGTGGTGAGCATAGTCAATCTGGTATCTGGATTTCGCTCACTAAAATTGGTGAGACCGACGTTTCTTCAAATAAAGTCAATTACGGTGAGTCTATTATTCATCTACCACCATTTTTATAATGTTGCAATACCATAAATAATGTCTTTTATATATTTTATACTTGCAACAACTTTTCGAAATGGTAGATAGCTATAATAATAGACTCCGAGGTGCAGGTCATGGCATTTTCACCTGTCTCCTCACCGTCACTTCAGGTTGTTAGTTTATTTTACGTGCTCAATTTTTGCACTAACGCTAGGTACTTGATGGCCACAAGTGCCCAAGTTTCTGTCGTATCGTTTGGTAGCAGTAAGACATAAGCTACGATGCTTCGACCACGCGCTGCGAATGACTCTGTCATTCCTACCCACGATACACGACAGCTAACTATCAACCTGAATAACCGACGACAGTATCTATGGACGTTCATCCCTTCTGATGTTCCCATAGCCATACTCGGTATCGATCCATTACAACACTATGAAATGCTACTCGATTCACGTAGGCTGTGTTATTCGATACTTCGTCGAATATCAAATCCATGATTTTTAACGCGCAAACAGATATGTACCGAATCAATAATATGTATATTTTTTTACATTACTATTTATTTCATGTTATATTCGATAAATTCCCCAAAGTAACGAAACCGAGGAGATTCAACTGGTGATTAATTATGTGGTAAGCCACATCGTCACCTGCAGACCCCCAGTCACGGCAAAACTTCGCCGACTGGCACTGGACAACTTAGTTTTCGCTAAGCGTGAGTTGGACAGTTTACTTGCTATATGTATTACTTCGTCTTTCTCACAGTCCCTATGACTCCTCTCCACTCGGTTCGCAGAAAGATGGCATTTGTTGGAGACGACATGGCGATTACGGAGCAGCAACGGCAGATATCCAATGTTCCGCCTTCGAACTCATATACGGCACGACATTGCATCTGCCTGGAGAATTTCTTCACACCACGGAGCAGCGATTTTATGTATATCAGATTACGTCCAACGACTATCTGAGTAGATGCGAATACTGCCTCAGGTGTGAACTCGAATATAACACCGACAGGTCGCTCTCCCTTGAGATTTATTCACCTGTCCGCAAGTTTTCTTACTAGTAGATTCGGTACTCAACAACCTTACGAAGGATCTTTTCACGTGATCTCCCGTCACGAAAAGACCTTCAAGGTTGATGGACACAGTCAGCATTGATCGTCTCATACCAGCGCACGTCAATGACAGTGCCCTACCTGGTAAATCGAGATTTAATGCTGGACTCGTCCAACTGACTAGCGGGATCCTTATTTTTCCTTCTGATCCCACTCTAGATAAACCAAAGACCTCATTCTCAGGTCCCAGTCAGCAGCACGCGCCATCTGCACTATCTACGGATGAGACCCCGTTCTCACGTCCAGATCAGCAGACCACGCCGCACTTGACTGCGGATGAGAATGCAGGATCACGAGGTACGCACGAGGCTACTGTCTTGCGTGCCGGTCGCCGCGCACGCCTACTTGTACGCTTTCTCGACTAAATACCAATCAACCACGGGTTCGTTATAGGATTTTACACTCGTACTACATGCATGCTACACTTTTCTTCTTTTTTTTATCCCGAGCCTATACCTTCGACCATTGCCCTGTTGGCACCGTCGACTTCAGTCAACCTTGACGAAAGCTGGCCTGATCACCCACGCTCTTGTCAATGCACTCAGTCGATTTTCTGGTGACGAATATATCTGGTATACGAATGGTTTCGAAATGGTCGTTTCTGGCTCCGCTCAATCTGGTTCCGTCCTACGTCTGCAGATTTATCTGGTCCGAACGCCTACGAAAGCAATCTTCAGACTCTGGATACGAGCCACGCTGGTGTGGCATGCCAATCCGATAGACAAACTTGGCACGTCAACTCGAGCAGCATACCTGGCACGTTACTACTGGTACAGTTCAACGTAGAAGACTATCGGTGACAACTCGAGCTTCATTGGTCGCTTCCTGTTCGTCAACCCTTCCGCGCTACAACCAAATGTTGGCCGACCAGCCCTCCCCGTCAAACGCAGCCGCTATGTATCGAAAGTGTAAACCCTTTCTAGGCGGGGGCTGCTGTAGTGGAACGCTTCTACGAAGAAAATGCGATTTTTGAAATGTAAACATTATTGTACTCGCTGCGTTTAACTGTACCAAAAACAGTTCTACAGTTCTTGCGCGCAACGTTCTCTTCGCGTTGCCGTCATATTTCTTTATTTGCTGCTCCCTATGTAATGCCAACGTTCTCCTTTAATAAAACCATGGAGTTTTGATTTATTTTGTTCTGCTTTTCGTCACGCGACCGCATGGAACATTTAGTGGTGAGCATAGTCAATCTGGTATCTGGATTTCGCTCACTAAAATTGGTGAGACCGACGT